GCACACATCTGAAAAATGGGTTTGAACCAATGCCTTGACAGGATTTTTGAAAAATTTTTGGAACATTTATTAGCGCCTGATAGGTAGTCTTCCAAGTGATCTTTGATAGTTGTCTCGCAGTACCGAAATTCAATGACTGTGATCACCTATGAAGTCGCACCACAATCTTTTAACGCTAACTCCGTACATTTCGAGCTCCAATCTCACATTGAATTTTCACAACACCAAGCGAGGGCGCCACGCCGCCGGAGTATAAATTCCCATCCCGTCCTATCTCGAAGCGACCAGATTAGAGTCATTTCAAGTCCAAGCATATGACCCTTGCTTCTCTCTTTCACAGTAAAATACTTCCGTTTTCCAAACTAATTATTGGTTTGAAAGCGTACACACCCACAATGCTTGTGTTGCCCAATCGGGTAAGTAGGAGTTAATTATGAACTTCGTTCTGTCAATCCAATCGATTAAGTAGACATTAATATGCGCATGCCCCTCTTTTATTTTATGCCTTTCTAGCTTCACCTTCCAATTCTTCTAACTTCTGAGAAAATAATTCGGTGAACAATGGGAGCAACCTCACGTGATCCACCAAANGTGATCCACCAAAACAGCCACGCGCGGACGCGGCGCGGTGCGATTGATTATTACATCACTTCGCTTTTTGATTTATTATACAGTAATAAAAGCTCATGGGTTTCGGAGAATTTGTAATTACAGTACTTATGAAACTCACCCATATGAGTAGCTCCACAGCAGACGCTAGTCGAGGATAACTGGTCGTAAGTACAAACGAAGTTCGATGGACAACTGTTACTGAGTGCCGCATTGCATTCGTATGGCATGTTCGTATTCGGGTTCACATAGGCCACATCTCCAGGAGTACAAGCCGCCGAAAGACAGAAGTTGTTGCACTGTTCGATAGTGGCGAAATTGTTCAAGTTGCCACTGCAGCCATTGTATGTGAATTGGGTGCATTCCTTGGTGACGATGTTGAAGTAGTAACGAGAGGCAGCCGATGAGGAGCATGAGCTGCCCTGTTGAGGTGGCAGTGAGCAAATGTAGGAGCGAGTTGGGCAGCATCGATTCACAACACTACTGCCAGAGTTCACGGATGTGCATTCGTGGGTGGTCGGACAGACCTGTGTAGCCGAGCAGACCATCAGCTGGCCGAATTCATTTCGTTCAGGGGTCCCTCCCGAAGGACAGCCACCCACGCTACAGTATCCCTCACAATCTTCACGTGTGGCGAAATTGTTCGAATTGCCATCGCAACCGTTGTACTGGAAGCTTTCGCATTCTTGGGTTTGACTGTTGTAGAAATACCGATAGGACGAGCCACTACCACAGGTCACACCCTTGTGTGGCGACAGTGTGCAGGTGTAGGCTGAATACGGTAAGATCAGTTCCTGGGGCTATGTATAAAATCGATGTTTCAAGACAAATGGTCTACCTTTTGTCGGGCAGCAACCCCAGACGTAACCATCAAAGTAGCATTCATAGTTGACTGGGCAGGAGTTTCCGACGCCGGAATTTGAACAGACGTAGTAGTTGCCTTGATAGTCCTTGTAGGCATCACCTTGAGGGCACTGTGGTTCCGCTGAAATGCTCGAGAGTTGTCCCAAGTCGTTTGTCAATATGACCGATTACTGTTTTGACCGGAAATTTTTCGAATGCTCAATCATACATGGGAACTGATTGCTCAAGTGGGCAACTGAAGATGTGATAGTGGCCTCTGCGATAAGACGAGCGTCGGTCACAGGATCTCCGCGAAGCGTAATGGATCCTGTGACCGGCACTCGAGAAAATATCCTAGTCGGAATTAGTGGGACATTTACCGGATCTGGCTGTTTACGTAATATCGGCTAAGCGCTCGCTAAAGGTGGGTACATACGCCGGTGATCGTCAGCACTTGAAATGAGAGGATGCATTCCTCGGTGACGTAACGACCTCAGTACTCGAGTCTATGACCTGATGGGGTTGTAGTACAGTGAACTAAGATCTTGCAGTAGTTAAACAGTTGCTGGATCAGTCCTGTCACCCCCTTCATGCGAAATTATCATAGGTCTGGAAGACTGGGGACCAGTGTAGTCTTGGCCCACTCTTCGGCCTTCAGATTCAGCGGAAAGGGAAAGCATGGCGTATCACTAATTTTTATACCGTATACAGAAGAAACAAGAAAAGAAACTCACGTATGATGTTTTCGCAAGTGTTCTGGCATTCGAGTAGCGTTTCGAAATTGTTATCATTACCCTGGCATCCGGTGTAGTCGAAAATCTCGCACGCCCTTGTCACAGCATTGTACCAATACCGTCGCACGCTTTGCTTACAATCACCCAATCGTAGCGGTTGCGAACAGATCGCTTCTGTAAACAGTACATACGAACATACACCGACCATATCAGCAGCTTAGTGTTTCGAAGAAGACACGCCGAAATTCTTTAAGTGCCGGATGTGACACGCGCACGGCTTTCGCTGGAAAAGTGCTAACCGCTCAAAAACCACCGCCACTTCTAAAACAGCACTTTGGCGCTCTTGTTAAAGGAAAGGAGATACCGGGAAGATAGGGGACGAACAGCTCTTAGACGGCTTTCATATTCAATGAGCTATGCTGGAGTTAACCAAACATAGGAGAGCCCCTCTGAAAAAAAGCTGAGGTCTGGGGATCCTTGTCTATGGGGTCATCCTCGATATCTACTTGAAAAGGCACATAGTGATTTGGTCAACTACACTGCTTCCTACACCCTAAGGTGGATCGACTCTATACATTTTTTTCGGGTAGGGGCTTGGACAAGGAGAGAGAGTGAGATTATTCCGTAGTAAGAAAATTTGCTTGGACCTGGCTCCACTATAAATAATTTTTGAATTTTAGCAAAGAAACTGCGGAAAACTTGCTAGAATCATGGTCAGAAGCAAAACAGCAAGAAACGGTCAATTTAGGATCCCTTCGAAGGTACGGTATCCACAAAATGCTAAATACTAGTGATGATGTTACCATATAAGCCATTCTTCTGAAAAGGAACTCACGAGGTCGTGGGCAGCACACATTGTGATCGCTCTGGCATTCATGCGTGCTGGGGCAGTCTGCATTGGTGCTGCAGCGTTGGTTGGTGGCACCGATCTTCAGTGGAGTACCATATTTGCATTGGAGCTTAGCACAGAATAGTTCACAGTCGGCCGATGACTTGAAGTTGTTGAAATTGCCGAGAGCTCCATTGTAAGTGAATGCGATACAGCGGCCCTGCTCAGCATCGTAGTAATATCTGCAAAGGAATAAGATCCAATTACGAAAGGATCATTAAACTCCGTTGCTTACTCTGAGAACCTGTTCGCATCGTTTTAACCCACATCCCCTCCAAGTACTACAATGAGAAGGGAAAGACATGTACCGAATGTGTAGGTAAAAAATTGAAAGTATCACCAACCTGCTCGAAGTGGCGAAGGAAAGGCTGAAGCTTCTCTTCATGCTGACGCCGGGATCAAAGTTGGTAGTCCTGTGCACGTCATACCCTCGACCTCCTCCATTGCTACAGATGGATGCCACCGTTGGACAGCACATTTGCATCGAGCCAATCGAGGTGCATTCGAAGTTCGACACACAGGAAGAAGCTGTTTGGCAGTTGTGAATCGGTTCATCCTCGTTGTGTGCATTACCGGTGAGGTACTGAGGTGATCCGCGTTTGCAAGCTGGAAATATTTCATTTAGATTTATTCAAAACGGTCTGTTCCAACACAGCCAGATGGCTCCCTTTTAGGCGTCTTTCTCAGGTTCTTCTTCCCGTTGACTAAGCTTCAGAGGACATGGGTGCTGTCACAGGATCATTGACAGGTTGTTCTGCTACAAGCATTTTAGACGACTGGGTTCTTCCTGGCATAGTAACTAGGGAAACATCACTACCATTCAAGCGCGCTCAGAATGATCCCCTCAATGCAAATTGAATGAAATTGAAGAAATGATGAGTTCCCATCCAGGCACGAGAGATTGCTGTCTGAAGCCATGGCTTGTGGTAAGAGCAACTATCCAAACGTTTTTCATCGTTTTGCAGACAGCCTTCAATGCTACTCGGGAACTTTAGTATTTTAGCAAATTTTCTACACAACAAATCCCCAAGAGTTTTTTCAGTAAGGCGTTAGAAGAATAACGCCGCAGAAGTACCCACCCCTAAAGTATACAAGCAGCTTGGCGGTTTAGTTCCGCGCGTGTTGAGGGTTTAAACTGCTACACATCCCTGTATAAATAGAGCCAGACAGCGATCGGGGCTCCCAATGTGTTGGAGATGTAGACAGATTTGGAATCTCGATAAGGGAAAGGGCCATGATCCCAGCCTAATCTGGGATAGGGTCGTTTCAATATTTACAAACGAGCTCTTTACTAACAAGTAGTATGCCGTCTATACGAAAGTTTAAACCACGGTAATGCTCGTTGAGGCGAGAAAGATGGGAGATATCTCATGGGAGGGAGTGCCTCACATTTCTCGTTCATTTCAAAACAGTTCATGTCCAGAAAGTACACGGTGTTGAGAACTCAGTATAAGTAAGATGTTTCACCAACACTTTTAATTGATACCGATCAAAACTATTGGTTTTAGCTAGGTTGTTGGGCGCAGACCACGTGGTTGAGGGCAGTACAGAAGATGGAACTTTCAGAATGGAATCATATGTAGTCCAGTACAGTAGGGCATGGACCAGTGTAATAGGTGCTGAAGAAAAGGAAAAGGCACACGACAAAGAGATGATGATCATGAGAGACGCTATCGATATAGATACCATCCTCTACTCTCTAACTCTCAGACCGGCTCATTTTGTGCCCAATCCCTCAATATGACAAGGTTTTGTGTGGGTATCGGACAATGTGGGAGGGTTTTGTGTGTATGTCAGTTAGGGAGCGCGCGCTCGACTTTTGGGGGCTCGTTTTTCATCATCTCGTTCTGTCGGCCGGTCAGTACTACATGCGTGCGGTATATTTGGACGCGTGCTTCGTCGAACGCAGTCGCGTTCCGTGCCCGTAGCTCGGATTATTGGGTGAGTGTTTGCTCACTTGACCCGCGGTCAAAGTCGACAAAGCTATGCTGAGTTAGCGAGCAGCCGAAGATCGCCAGTAGGCAGGAGAAATTCTATCTCAATCGTCAGAGAATCGTCAAATTAAAGGGCTACATCGATGCGTACGGTAACCAAACAATGACACCACCAGGTGCTGGAGTGACACTGATCCGTTTACAAAGTACATGATAACGAAGGGTACGGCTTACTAAATAGCGGTTGTAAAGAGTGACCGATGGTGGTGGGTCCGTTAGTTCCAAAAATAGGAAAACGGGTGGGAAATCGATGAGAGCGACTAAGCTGGCACAGAAAGTATAGCTAAGAGAATATCCTCCCGGCCATTCGATTGAGCCTGAGCTGAGGAGTACAAGTCCACGGTTGCAGAATCTTCGTACTAGGGAGCGCCAGGAATCGCCAGCCCAATTATCCACCGTACCGCTGAATCCATATGCTTCTACTAGCTTTTGGTGGTACCTTCACATCTTCCAAAAATTGTTTTCTATTACAAATAAGTGACTTGGACAGATGTGACAATGACGGCTAAAGCACTGCTTATGTGAAATTGAAATGGACACATGGAATATAAAGAGGAAGTGAAAAGAGGTGGGCTGGGGCGAGTGGATTATCCCCCATCGTCTAAATAGGGGACCGAACTCGTACCAATAACGGTCTATATCAAAGGAGCCTTCTCTCTCATCGATTAACTGGTAGGGATCTGTAGTTTTCTACGTAGACTTTTCTCCATTACTCTTTGTATAATTTGGATATGCATTCAAAAGAATGCGCGGCACCCTCAAAGTGGGGATAATACGCATCTTAGCGCCTTTTCTTTGCTTTTTTGGAGGGTTCTCGCGAAATTCTTTCGAAACCGAGTCAGTAGATCTTGAAAAATCTTTTGACGGTTCAAACACTTCAGAAAATGGAACGAGCGCTGATTCTACTTCATTCATCCAGAACAGGCTAGCCTTACTCACGTTAGTTTAAGGCGAGCAGTGTTAATTTACAAACAAAGATCAGCATCGAAAAAAGATCGTGCTACTGAAAATAAGGAGTGGCTAAATCGAACTCACTGTCTCTACAATATGATTCGCAGTGTTCTCGAGTTTTGAAGTTGTTCGGCGATTGCATCTCGGTTTCATCCCATGGGTCCCACATGAACTGTTCACAGGTGCCGGTGACAGCATTGTACCACCAACGCGGTCGCACACCTGCCGGTGCGGCTGAGCCGGTGTCTGCTTCACGCTTCGGCTGGATACAGGTGAATGCTTAAAACACCATAATTATTTGATGCCTTTCGATTTGAAATAGGAAGTGAGGCTGTAATTAATCGAATCGAATCTAGAACTTGCTCCCTTCTCTCACGGTTATGCCTCCTCCCTCCGTCACAAGAAAAGTTGAGCGAATAGTTTTGTGGAAGGAATTATTTTTATAGAAATCGAATGCACGGCTCATCCCGGAAAGGCCTAAGATTACAGATTGGGCATTTCAATTATATTTCCCCCCACTTTCTTGTATCTCAGATTTAGGACAATAAGAATGAAAGAGAAAAGAAAATGGATAAAAAGCTTAATTGACCTCGATTTGGACAGCAAATTCCGTCAGTAGTCGGATGGAGATCGTAAACACCCTCCATCGCGGTCTTCACATTGGCCATCGAGGCCGGTGACGTGACGCAGTCGTAGATGTCGGCGATGTAAATGCCATCTGATGACTGAGGATCGTTCGAATAGACGCAAGCTCCACCACCATTAGCGACGAAAGTCGTGTAATCGGTCGATGAGGATGTGCAGAATTGAAGTGGATTCACATGTTCACCCATTTCTACTTCGGTATCGTCAGGATCGGTCATTGCCGGATTCCTAAGTTGTGAAACAGGCATCGTCAGAAGGTCGTCATCGTATTCGGGCAGAGGACATTTGGGCACGGGGTCGCCGTCCTCACCCGAATGGAGGATGCAGATGACGCCGTCACGAGTTTTCGCCTGCACATACGGTATACCGTTGACGTCTTCCGGACATTCACATCGCGACTTCTCGCAACGACTCTCTGGCCAGACGGCACTGCACTGCTCAGCGTACTGACAGCCACTCTCGCCAGGGTTCTTCTTCAGGTAGCAATAGCCCTGGATGGCGACGAAGTTGCTGAGACATGTGCATGAGCCTGTCGAGCAGAACATGCCCTAAACAAATTTTATCGTACCATCTCCAAGGTAAAGCGTATCCAACAAGAAATTAACGGAATAACTTCCGCGCAACCTTTAGACTGTGAAAAAGTAAGAGCCCAAGTAAACGTTCGAAATCTGACTCCCCACAGAAGTTGCGAGAGTTTATTTTAACGTAGGGCGCTACCACAGACCTAAGAAACGGCATGAGGTCTCATCTGGGGAATATAAGAAAGAAGGCATTGCGAATCTAAACCGAGAGGCTGGAATTACTTTCAGTGGTGAAGCAAGAGGGCCCGAAATGACAAAAGGCCGACTTCGGTTAGCGCTTATGCGTTGAAAGGGATGGGTGTTAGGTTTCACTTTGAATTCGTGTAGTGAGGAAGTTCATAGGGGCTCTACACTTTTCTTCGAAAGCATCATTACGTATGCGCTCCCAAATGAGAGACCATTGTTGAACAGAGGCTGGCTGGTCCAATGGCCTCCATTCGGTTACTACCAGTATACGAGGGGGATAGAAGTGAATCATGGTGATGATTGTTTCATTACAGAATAGGGCGTTCCATTGCCAGTCAAGCTTGGGTATGGACTGTGTCTAGACCTGGGTAGCATTCAAGCCTGATTTTCGAAAAAAGCCGTTGAGAATGCTCCCACTTCCTTAATGGAGACTTCTGGTCCCACTATCAACCCTGCTAGAAGTAGCCTACCAAATGGTGAAAAGTTATTATTATTTGATGCGATTAGTGGTCAAAAAGAGCAGAGCATATGAAGAACAGGATAAGTAAATACCCACGCAGCGAAAACATTTTCAAATTCCTCCAAGTTTTTGAATTTTGAAAGAACTCACCGTGAGACAATCGGTGTTGAATGAGCAGAAGTCGCCAACTCTTCCTGAACCTGCAGTACCTTGCCGCTTGTATCGGACATGACCATGTCGGCATTTGCCGTCGATGAAGTACTGGCCACTACTGCAGATCTTACGTTCGATTCGATTTTTCACCAGATTACAGATCAAAAATGCATTTTCATGCAAATCTGTCTTGCTGAAATGAGGGGTCTCAGTTATTATANAAACGAGTGAGGTAGACTGAGGAAAGTTTCGGGGTTTTTTGAAGTTATTGAGAAGCCTTCTAGAAAATGATAATCAAATGAAAGCTCCCGAATGGTGGGCAAACGCATGGCGTAACATGGTTTGGATAGCACCACATGTCCTAACGCTGTGCGGAAAATTTCACTGACGACAAATTGAGTGGCATGTTTTTATAGCACTGATAAATTGGAAAGATGAAAGAAATGGAGTGCCGTTGAATAAAGTGATAATAAAGCCTTCGAAAATGATGTCGCTATTTGCCTACTGAGAGTAGGGATCTGAACATCTTTCAAGAAAATGGCTGAAGCAACAGCTATTGGATTCTACCCATCCGCTCCAACCACTCAGAGTTACCCTCTCATCAAGTGGCGATCCGGCTTAGCCAGGTATCGTTGGTACATTTGGAGATAGATTGTTACAAGTTGTGTTTTACTACTTGCGAAATTCTCCTATCAGCTAGCAAAATCGCCATTGAAATTCGGGACCCATTGGTTAGGTGGTCTTGCCTGGTGCGGTGAACTCTGGCTCTACAGTCTACGGAAATTTAAAAATTTGGTTTTTTTTTCGTTCCTTACTTTGTTTTAACATCACAGTATAATGATTCTAGTGTGGTCTCTTCTTTGCATTTATCGCCTTCTTGTACAAGTACACAACTGCCACAATCGTCTCCTATCCGGCATTGCTCTTTGCAGATGACTCCTCCTGAAAATAGATAATTACAACAGTTAACGAAATTGTAACAAATAAAATTCCAAGATGATATTTGGTCCTTGGGTCTTTTCAATTCGTTCAGCATGAAACTCGCTCCAAAGTGTAGTCTTCGGGAGCGATAGCCGCACTCAATTACTTTCGCATCGTGAGGACTTCGTCAGCGCTAGAAAGATTTGACCATCGAGGGTCATCCTTCTGTGTTAAATCAAAAAAGCAACGCTTCTTTTCATAGGTAAATATGCACTTAAGTAGAACAAAGCATTCCAATGTCACCTTGACGGCACGCATTTACGCAGTGGACCTCGGCTATTTGCTTAGGTTTTTTATTGTTTAATGGGGAATGGAGTGCTAGGAAGGATAGAGCTTTTTTCACGAAATCGACTTATAGATGCTTAACCAAGTTCTTCTAGGAGCTGATAAAGTTCAGAAAGCTTGATGACGGTCTGGTTCAGGTAGATCTTGCTCGAAGAGAAAGAAGTCATAGGGGAGGATACGAGAAAATTGCCTCCATGTTTTTTTCTAATATTTCTTGGTGTTCCTACTACTTCCGACCTTCATGAACTTCTCCCCGAATTTCCCGAAAGCCTCAGTTTCACTAGCAGTTATAAGGAAACAAAGTTCCAGAGTGCTTAGGCCTGACATCTAGTAGCTGATCACGGTAACGGCTATGAAGGAGCCGTAAAAGGCAGACAGAATTGTGTACTCGAAAAGAATAATATGTCTGCAGAATGTCAATGTCCAAAATAGACATCCATAAATGGAAAGAAAGTCGGCTTGTACCTGCAAACAGGATGGTCAACGCGAAGAGTCGGTGCATTCGATTGTGTACGGGACGTGTGGTGAGTGTTTGAGGTATCAGGGAAGGGTGGGCGGTCGCTTAGGGGTCTGTCCACCCCGGTGTGCGACTCTTTTGGATGGGAGAAGAGAGCTGGCCGATGAAGAGGCGCGGACGACATCGTATTTGTTCTTGTCCGAATCGCGCACCCCACCAAGCCCTCTTCGATGCACTGTCTCTGTCGTCACTTTATTCCTTTTGAACAGCTCACGAACTGATAAAGTGAGTCGCAATCAAAGGGACTACAGATTTATGATACGGTAGCATCCCAAGAAATCAGAGAATGTGATGGATGGACCTTCGATTCCGTCGGAAGTGGAAATGCTATGGTAGGAGCTTAAGCGGTCATCATCATTTTGTGGTCGTACTCTCTTGAAAGACTAGCAGCATCACCTGATAGCTTATGGAGGTCTTGTGCAGGGCCAACGTGCAGTGCAGGGCCAAACGTGGTGACAAAGAATTTTCCCCACCAAAAACAAACAAAATGTGCTCTGATCTTAAAATGCAATGTCCTTTACTTGCTCTTTTTGGAGAGGAATTGATCCCTCTACTAGTTTCTCCTCATCGCGTGGCCCTTTGTGACTGAGTGAACCCATGGATTCCGCTACAAGAAAGTTGGGTACCTGCTGCGGTAAAGCAATGAAGTGCATATCGGATTACTGCCGAGACTGTCGTGTATCACCGATGTGCAAACAATTTTTAAAATACTTTGGGGGTCCGACTGAGTGGCACTACGAAATCATTTCGTTACTTTTATTCAATTATCTTGATGTTTTGCTATCTGTGAGCCTATTCCTCCCCATGGTCCTACTCCTATGGAACTGAACAATCCCACTTCTGGAATGCGCATTGCATCCGGCTTCAATTCTGACGGCCTTTAAAATAACGTGCAAGCCCAACCCATAAGGAGATTACCAGATCGCTGCATTCTCCCAGATGAGTCTGGTACAAACTCAGCGACCCTACAGGAATAGGAGGCTCAAAGACCATCTGGGATTCAATCTTGAACTGTGTCTGTGCTTCAACTGTCACTGTGCTACCTTCGCCCATTCCTTCTCCTTTTTGCAAAAACGATCATAATTGAATGTAAGTTTTATTACCAGTGTATCAAGACAGCATTGTGTGAGTTTATGCATTCCAGGACGTAAAACAGGTAATACAACATTTGAAATCGATCGTCTCCTTTGGCTAGACAATCGAATGCCAGCTTCCATCGATTCGTATTCGTTTCGGTTTGAAGTTTGGGCATTCGATCTGCATGTTCACCGTCCGCGAACCTCCTGACTTCATCTTTATCATCACTATCAGATCGATTAAGATGCCTGCCATCTGTCGCAATGGGGAAACTTGGATCTGAAATCGGAAATATCACTCTGAAGTGTTGATACCTCAAGAAGCAGCAATTCCTAATGGGAGGTTCTAGTAGAAGCAAACATACTGATCCGGGTACGATTTCGGCCTTGTCTTTCAGTACACTTTCAACGGCATCCTCAGCAACTTTAGCCGGATATACTGCGCTAGAACATCCAGCATGAGCGACATGTGACTGCCTTGGTGAAAGGAAGTATAAACGGACCCTTTTCGCCTATCGCTCGCTGATGTACCACTTGATAAGGTAGAACCATCTTGACTTAATGGCGTGTCCTGCAAATTCAGTTTTGATAAGTTGTGGGGCTATTTGGTAGAGTTGAGAACTGAAGGCCGTCGGGTGGTAGGTAAGTTGAGGGCATTGCGGAATAAAGATTCTCCTCGTACTACATTGTACAAATTGTAATTCCAATAGGATGAACATTGGGGTAGGGTTGGGATTCGGGGTAGGGGAAAGGAAGAGGGCGAAGGGAGTAGTCAACATTGCCATGAATCAAAGGAAGGTGGAAGTTATGGCATGAGTTCCCACTAGAGGTTATCAAGAGGGAATTTTCGAAGAACGGGCCACTAACACTTTGAGTTCAAACAGCTTATGTCCCAGAGGATGCAGACGTAGTCCGAGACATGGGCATTGCAGAATATGTTTTTAAAGAACGTCAAATCGCCTTCAGGCTACTACAAGGAGGTCATCCTAACCGTGCTAGTACTAGACGATTCGGGGTATCCGAGCATTCTTTGTATTTCATCGGATGTTTTACTAGGCGTCATCGTATCGACTACAACGTCTTGTGTAGTCCTTCCTTGCGCAGAACCATATGCTCCTTGTGATTTAGGTTCATGAGACGACGATGTGATCACTTCCACTCGATCACCGTCACGTGGAAGGTCTAACAGCATCTGAACGAGAATAGTCCCAACTCATGTTGTCCCTGTTAGACGTACAAGTAATGGAAACTAGTAATTACCTTTTCGGCATCATTAATCGTATTAATAAGTAGCTGATTTATACTATGTTGGACGACTTTTGCAGAAAATGCAGACATCTGTAGGTTTCTTGGGAATGATGGTCGAGCGGCTGCCGTTCGGCAGTTAAGAAGATGGTGAAATGAACATTACATGATTTCAGCTACTTTTATTGCAAGCCTCTGATAAGTGCAAATTTGTTGTACATAAGAAAAGAATAAACATTTTTGTTTTAAAACTTCATTCTGTACTTCAGTACACATAATACCCATCCCATGGTTGATCTGGCGATCCTTCTGAACCACCAAAGTTTACAAAAGGCTTTGTCACTGTGCGGCTTCAACAAGTTCAAGAAATGTTCAATCTTCTCTTCTTAAAGTCGAATGATATGGCTAATAGCTCGCTAAGAGAAAACCTTTATGACGAGATCTAAAATTCATAACTCGCGAAAAATTTAATAAAAAAAAACAAAGTTAGGGCTTCGTAAAATATTATCGAACCTAATAAATGAAAGTGGAATAACAGCTGCT